GTAGTTGTTTTCCAGCTTTTTCAGACAAAAAATATTATTTTTATAGTTTCATCAAAACTTTTTAAAGTATAATCTTAGCAGTTTTTTTAACTTCTAGATTTATCCAGACTGTAGTATTTTAATTTTGATTTCAATATATTTCTTTCCCCCTTAAAGGTTAATTAACCACTTCTGTCTATGAAGGAGTGGGGCGTAGTCCCCTCCCTTCACTTTCGGAGGTTTTCTTAATTGGGGATCTTTCCCAAGGACTTAATTACAGAGTAGAGAAGTTTAATACTCTCACCAGTTCCAAGCACGATGTTCACCGCTGTTCTGGTTTGTGCTCTTGGACTTCGGCTGCAAGTAGCTTGGGCTAGATGCTGGTGTGCAGCTAGCCTTTCTCCTTTCGGGTTAGAGGGCTTCCCCCAGATCGAACGGAACGACTGCCATTGTTCCGTGATTATCAGGGCACCCTCTTTCTTCGTCTCCTCCCCGGGATGACTTCAGACCCATTTAGGGTCCCCTGGCACAGTGAAATAAGCCATGGGGTGTGGAGTTCCGCAATCCTGCGGCCACGTGCTGTGGCGCAAAAACCAGAAATCCTAGAGCTTTGAGTTATTTGTTAAAGGCTGGTTAGTTGGCTGAAAGATTAGACACCTTTTATCCAGACCAAGATATGAATGTTCTCATATCAACACTTAGCAGGAAGAAGCAAGCACTTAATTGCTTTTTAATGCTAGTTTTAAATTGTTGATGCATCATACTATTTGTAGAAGATGATTGTTAGTAGATGAGTATCTATAGATATCTACAACTTGTAAATCAGAAGTATCTAATTGGAAAAATATTTTAATGTTTTACGGCGCAACTAATTTAACAAAAAAGCAGCTTTTAGACTTTCATAGTTTGGTTTTATATAGCCATAGACTAAACAGAATAAGGAAGTACCAGACCACCTTACCTGTCTCCTGAGAAATCTGTATGCAGATCAAGAGCAAGAGTTAGAATCAGACATGGAACAAACAATTGGTTCAAAATAGGTTAAGGAATACAACAATATTATCACCTTTCTTATTTAATTCATATGCAGAGTACATCATGCAAAATGCTGGGCTGGATGAATCACAAACTGGAATTAAGATTGCCGGGAGAAATATCAACAACCTTAGATATGCAGATGATACCATGCTAATGGCAGAAAGTGAAGAGGAACTAAAGAGTTTCTTGATGAGGGTGAAAGAGGAGAATGCAAAAGTTGGCTTGAAACTCAATATTGAAAAAAAAAAACTAAGATCATGGCATATGGTCCCATCACATCCGGGCAAATAGAAGGGGAAGAAATGGAAGCAGTGATAGATTTTATTTTCTTGAGTTCTGAGATCACTGCAGACAGTGACTGCAGCCATGAAATCAAAAGATGCTCCTTGGAGGAAAACTATGGCAAATCTAGATAGCATATTAAAAAGCAGAGATATTAATCTGCCAACAAAAGTCTGCACTATCAAAGCTATGGTTTTCCCAGTAGTAATGGCTGTGAGAATTGGGCCATAAGGAGGGCTGAGCGCCGAAGAATAGATGCTTTCGAACTGTGGTGCTAGAGAAGACTCTTGAGAGTCCCTTGGACTGCAAGGAGATCAAATCAGTCAATCCTAAAGGAAAGCAACCCTGACTGTTCTTTGGAAGATATTGAAGCTGAAGCTCAAATACTTTGGCCACCTAAGGAGACAAGAGGACTCACTGGAAAATACCCTAATGTTGGGAAAGATTGAAGACAAAAGAAGGTGGTGGCAGAGGATGAGATAGTTAGATAGTGTCATTGACACAATGAACATGAACTTGGGGAAACTCCAGGAGACTGTGGAGGACAGGGGAGCCTGATGTGCTGTGGTCTGTGAGGTCACGAAGAGTCAGCCATGAGTTAGTGATTGAACATCAAACAAAAGAATAAAACATTTTCCAAATTAGTAAGTCAAATGAATAAAGAGTTGTTTCTATGCAAAATCATTTAATGCTAAGAATCTTTTTATATCTTCTTTGTACCATCAAAAAAAAGGTGATGCATTGGACAACTAGAAATGCAAAACAAGTTTGAATTAACTGGTATATCTATATTTGGACAGCAAATTATTCAAACAACATATAGATAAATGTGAATACAGCTCATCAGATTTGGCTTTTTGGGACTGCTTAAACTTAATTTGTTTGAAATTAGGATATAATATTAATTGTATTTTGACTAGGAATTTCATTTATAGATATTTTTATCCCTCTTCACTCCATATTTACCCTGTATTCAGAACTGGATTATAACTGCCTATATTAATTTTTATAGTTCAATTTTTATGATCCTGATGTCAACATATGTAAAAAAATCCCTTAAATTAATACATGTTATCATTTGGCTACCATAAAGTCTAGCCAACCATTAAATAATTACATTTTAATACAAGTAGACAAAACCAAATCTTATATAAAATTATTGTATTAAATTTCTCCATGGTATTTCATGTTAATCCTTCATTGTACATTGTAAATTTGCATTTTAAAATACCTTTGCACAATATTTTATATATGATAGAATTCTGACATACACACACTATACACAAAAATACACTTGACATTCATGCCAATTTATCAATCTCATTTGTTAGGTAGACAAAATGTTTTCTAGAAAGGAAATTATAAAATCTGCACATTTTCCCTTTAAGATTTTAATAAAATACCGCTTTTTACAAGATTTGTGAAAAAAATCCTGCATTTACAAAATACACTCTAAGAGGCCTTAAGCCAATTATTTATGTCTTACAACATAAAAAAAAAAAAACCCCAGGGCACCTTATATGGAAACTAATACTGATCTGGCTGATTCATAAGAAAATAAAAATGGAACAGATGTAATATAGAGATATGAATAAAATCATTGAAAGTAAGTGGCAATTTGGATTAAAAATGCAGAAATAGAAATAGAATAGGAAAAATTGCATATTTTTGCTGGTTTTAAGTTAGCCAACTTTTCCTTTAGTGGCTAACACACAATTTATAGATTTTGACACAGGGCTTAGAGTAAGGATGTTTATATTCCTAAACATGTAAACAAAATGCAATTCAGCCTTCAGTCACACTGGCAAATAAAAGTGGTTGTTTTCCATGGAGATCTGTAACCAGACCATACCTATTACCAAAACCCCAGTTAACAGATCTACTTATACTCAGAAAAATAATAGGCTGATTCCTAAACTACTATGGATTTAAAACCAAATGCCAGCATTAAGTAAGTATTCTCTGTTAAACATAATTCAAGGCAAAGTATAGTTCATTTAAATTGAAAGTGTTACTTCCCATGCTGTGATGTAACAATGTACTAATATTGCATGAAAATCTGCATGTTAAAAAAGCAGTCTTGGATCAACATGGACTCGGTTTGGATGCAAGTATGTGGAGATAATATATTGGGCAGCATTATTTAGGGTATTTTCTTATAGTGAGATTACTCTAGCATGAGAAATGTGTTATTTGAAAATGATCATAGTCATTCATATAGTGCTACTGCTGCTTCCAATAAAAAAAAACATTCTGAATGTTTCAAAAGTTAGTAATAAAACATTATCATGCTGATTCATGTTTTAGTTCTCCCAAAATATACTGCAGGTGAAAAATAAAACAAAAAGTTTTGTGATGTGTCTAAGTATGAGTTAGGACTGTCAAATTATTTTTTTTAGGAAATCATATAAAATTTTTATCCTATAAAAAAAAACTTTGCCAAATGTAGAGTTCATTTTCCTCAATAAGGATAGGTTCAGAGCTCAGGTTGTATGCCACATCCAAATGTATAGGATTACTGAGCAATGTGCAGAAATAATCTTTATGTTTAGGATAAATCAGATCAATAAATTGTATACCTTATTTGCTGGAACATGGTGCCATTTAGTTAAAGACATTTATTTACAGGTAGTCTTTAACCCCCATTCGTTAGTGACTGTTCAAAGATATGATGGCGCTGAACGAAGAGACTTACAACCCATGCCTGGACTTACAGCTGTTGCAGCACCCCTATGGTTGTGTGATCAAATTTTGAGTGCTTGGCAGTCAGCCTACATTTACGACCGCAGGGGCGTTTCAACTCATCCTCACCTGGGCCCCCATCTGAGCCTTTTTGGAACCCTGACACCCTGTGCTCCACTGCCTTAGCTGACTTTCACTGTCTTCTTCCTCCCAGTGCTGATGCTGGTCAGTGGACTAGGCTTCAGATGTGGAAAAATAAAACCCAAAGATTTTGTAACCAGCTTCTGGGTGGGATGAGATTTGTGTTCCTAAAAGAAAAAAAAATCCTCAAAGCAACCCTTTGTAAAGAGCTTCTGGAAGGAATGAGCTTACCGTTCCAACCCTCCTCTCAGCTTTGCTGAGAAGTTTTTTGCAAAGGGGCTGCCTTGAGCCTTCCCCCTGCCGCACACAGTTGAAGTCCTGCCCAGCCAAGCAGCCAGGTTAGGCATACCTCATTGGCAGTAGGAGCAAGAAAATGGTGAAGGTCAGTGGGGGGTTGCAGAGCACAGGGTGTCAGGGGTCTCCTAGTGCAGGGTGGTGAGGTTAACTAGGACTGGGCTGAGCTTCCCATGGTGTGTCACACAGCCGCACAGTCCTGCTGTTCTGGGACTGCTTGCTGCCCCACAAGGCAGAGTGCAGGGCGGCCAAAGGGCAGGAACTGGGTATGAGATAGGTAGGTGGGTGGGAACTGGAGGCAGTCCAGTTACCTTATGGGGACTTTGGCTGGGAGGGACAGAGACCGGGATGGTTTGGACTAGGGTGGGTACTCGCTTAATGATCCATAGTTCTTGATTAATGACAGAACAAGGACTGCTGGGATTGCAGTCATTAAGCAATGTAGTCAATTACATCTTACTTTATGACCACATCACTTAGTGACAGAAGTTCTGGTCCTAATTGTCATACGTTGAGGACTACCTGTACAATAATTTTAGGACACGTTTAAGTTGTTACATTGCTTTGGTATAATTCCTAGATATAATTTTATTTAAAGTTGGCAGTGCCACAATAGTTAAAATCTATTCACACTGTATCAGATTAAAAGAATCATATAGAAATAAAATAATGGTTACATATAAATAGTTTGTAGAAGTTATGTAATCTTTAAAAAGGAGACAAATCATCTGGAATAATTCTTTCAGACTCACTTCCAGTTTTAAAAAAGCAATTCTAGCACTATCAATATTATTGCTGCTCTCTTGTGTTAATGTTTAAAAGCCATTAAAAAAAAATTAGGCAAGATGGCTAGTGTAACTACCTTAATTTTATCAACTAAATAAAGTTCTTTAACGGGCATAATTAGTATTAAAAATAATGCAACAGGCAGAAAATATTATTTAAAAGCATAATTTGGATTAGAATTAAAATTTAAAATTGTATTTATTCGTATAATACAATAGAAAGGTAAGTATTCTGTATACCATACTTATTCTGAAGATTTCGATGCACCAAAATTGACAGCCAATTTTCTGGGTTTTCGTTTGCTAGAAACATTTGATGTTGACTTTTTATGAGGTACCCTTGAATTTGGAGATGCCATTTTTTCTTGAAAAGATGCTGCAGACTGAACAGTTTGAGAGGGTCTTAAAGGATCTGAGGAAGTATCTAGTGAATTCAGTTTTGTGGTGTCAGATATTGACTGATCATTCTTCAACTGTGCATCCTGAAGAGAAGCTTGGAACTCCTTAGACTCAAAATTTATTTTGTTTGCAGCTGTTTTTTTAGTTACCTAAAAACAAAACAATAACCTGAATTACTTTTCTAAAATCAGAAAATGTACTTACATATACATTCTGTCTGCTATCAAACTTACCTGCAATGGTATAAATTGGTTATGTGTACCAACTGGTATATCTGCAGGATATGCATTTCCAGGATATGAACCTGTGTAATAAGATTTGTTGTGAACTGGCATTGGTGTTCCCCACTGCACTGAGCCAAAGGCAGGAAATGATGAAGGAAATATATTAGCTGTGAAAACAATGGGATATAGATATATTAAATAAAAAACATTTTTTTATTTAAACTGTTTTTAGTGGGTCTGTTTTCAATAATACCCACTAAATAAATTTGGTAACTGCAAGGTCTGAACTGATGTTACTGCAGCAGAACCCCTATAGCCTCTTATTTTACTCTATAAAATTAATTAGAGAGCAAGAGGCGCTTTAAGGAACATAATTAACTTTTTTTTACATTATTCAATTGGTTATTTTTTTTTATTGTAGAACTTGTCTCCCTAGAATTAACTTTTTTCAACCAATAATATACCTATTTCATGAACATTATTTCACTTCTTCATATTAAAAAGAATGCAAAATAACTGTTTTTCTACCAAGGGCGCCATTCAATTAAGTATAATCAACTAAGGGCATGAGGAGAGCTACTACTGCTTTTCTCTTTTTCCCATGCCCCAGTCTTAAATGAAAAGTGTAAATAAATTCTTGCCAGACCATTTGCAAAGGACTAGGACAGTGGTTCTCAACCTTTTTAATGCCGCGACCCCCAACCGGTCGTAAGTCGAGGACTAAACCGGTCGTAAGTCGAGGACTAAACCAGTCGTAAGTCGAGGACTAAACCAGTCATAAGCCGAGGACTAAACCGGTCGTAAGTCAAGGACTAAACCGGTCGTAAGTCGAGGACTACCCAACCGGTCGTAAGTCGAGGACTTTCCCTGCCCGGGAGCGCCGCGCATGCGTGATTCCGCCCCCTGCGCCCGCCGAGGCGTAGCTGGCAAGCGGCAGAGACGGAGCAGGCCACCAGCTGGCCCAGCCCAAGGGAGGTAAGGCACCCGCCGGAAAAGGGGAAAAAATGGTGGACAAAAAAAATGGCGGACAGCCTTGCTTGGCGACCCCCGTGAAATGGTCGATCGACCCCGCTGGACTAGGACTAAGTGAGGCTTGAATCATTTGAATAGCCACTGTCTAGAGAAGGAAATAGATTCTATATTTTTTTGTATGGAAAAGATTTCACATCCTGAACAAATAAAAGATAACATTTAGCAAATTTACCAGTTTGTTGTTGACTGAAAACTGGAGGGATAGATCTAGGTGCCATAAGATTTCCCAGTGGCTGATAATTTGGAAACATTGGCGGGGGCGGCAATGGTTGCTGCGGTGGCAGGGGAAAATTCATCCCAATAGAGCTCTGTATGAAAAAGATAACGTTTTCAGCATTAGAAAATAGAAGCATTATATGTTAAAAATTCAGTGCAATGCAACAGTTTTAGAACATTTAGAACATGGTCTCACCAACTGTTGTAAAGCAAAAAATGCTGCTTTCTCCTTGGCCTCATTTTGAGAATGGCACTGAGGTCCATGCACTAATAAGCCATTGGATAACTTCACTTGACAAACTGTCATTGTCTATGGAATAGAAACATGTAATATGAATAAATACCTTTTTTGCCTTATATTGCAAACAAAAATAGTAAAGAGCTTAACTTTTAGTCCTGTGATAGTTTCCTAAACTCTACTAAACAGAAATAGATTGCAATACACCATTAGATCTAGCAAAGGAGGCATGTACCATCTGCTAGGGATTTATATTTTAGTGGATCCCAGAAGGCAGGCCTTTTCTGCTTTGGTGCTGCCTTAGGGAACATTCTCCTCGGCCCCCAGGTCAAGTTAGCTCCATCCCTCTTAATGTTCTGGAAATCCCTTAAGACCTGGTTACGTCATGAGGCCTAAGGCAGAGGATCCCCGAAAAGAGATAAGCTCATATGATCCACTATTGTGGTTATCATATTCATTCTCTCCATCCCTTGAGGTTTCTATATTTTTAATTTAATATTTTATTTTTTAACGATAATAGAGTTGGAAGGGACCTTGGAGGTCATCTAGTCCAACCCCCTGCACAAGTAGGAGACTCTATTTTTTTTCTTTGATTGTTGTACAACTCCCAGAGTCACTTCCAGTTAGATGGGTGGTCATATGCATTTAATAAATAATATTAGAATTCAACAAAGCCTCCCTTCATCTGCGTTCCCTCCTAAATTTTATTTTGTAAGCCTCCTGAAGTCACTGAGAGTGAGCTGGACAGCCATATACATTTTCTTAAGTAAATAAATAAAATCTAAATTTGCCTTGGACAGATTTCTAGCAAATTGTTTAGGTTCCTGCTTGTGCCTCCAGAAGTGTTTACCATTATATCCACTGCTATTTGTTCATTAATGATGTGGAATTCCATCTTCCCTGATGGAAGGGAATGAATGAAGGAATGTTTTTATTTATGCTTTTTATACTATCCTATGTTTTTATTGTAAATTGACCAGGGTCACTTAGGTGAAGATGGGGAAGGAATGTAGAAATGTGATGATAGATAGATACAAAGATAGATAGATACAAAGACATGGAAATCCACTCCATCTATAAATAAGCACCACTGAAAACAATTTTGGTGGTAGAAGCAACTTTCTGTTGAGTATATATGCCTATACAATCCAAATGCAATGGCAAATCTTTGATTTATACAAGTAAAGAGGGTGTTAAAAGGCAGTATTACTTTCAGTTTTAATAAGTAACAATTTACTTATTCAGCCAATTTATTTAACTCCAAGGTTACCTGTGGGGTTCTAAGGAATGAGAAATCTGGTTGCAACATTCCAACAAGGGAACAGATACGAGAAAGTTCAGACACAGCAGTAGATACTGTTCCAAGGGGAGGATGGCTTCCTTTTCCCATGGCCTGAATGTTCTGTGACCCTCCAATATTAGATTTATTCATGAAATCCACTATCAATGAAACATAATATAAAAATGAATATATAACACCAATGTTTTGAATAAGTCCAAATATTTAGCTTTACTGGCTTCAATGTAACATATTTACAACTGGTCTGCTGCTAGCAGAGACTCGTCCTCCCACTATTTTAGATGGCCCCTTCAAAAGGTACATAGATGGCTAGGAAATGTCTTTGAATAGACCAACTTCTGTAGCAGGAGAATAACAGATCCTGGAGTATCAAAAAGTCTATACATAATAATGGTTCAATTTTCTTTTGAAGGTGTATTTCTTTACAAACAAACAATTTCTAAAAACAAATACTCTTACTAGTATTTTCAGTATGTTAAAACATTTGTTGTAGGTAAAGAAGAAAAATCTAATTTGAAGTGCTTATAAGTAATTATAATTATTAATTTTATAATGTGCTGCAACTATTCAATTTACTAAAATAAACCAGACATACCTATCTTTTGGGGTTGTCTACATTGTGATGCAGGTTCAAAAGAATCCTGTTTACAAGTGGAAGGTGAAATTTCATGAGTCTTTCCTTCTGGAGCGGCAGAAACATCTATCTTCAAAATTTCTTTGAGCATCTGTGTTCCTTTCTTTAAAAAATGAAGTTAAATAGAAATATATTATAAGCATATATGTATGTTCGTGTATATATACAGATACAGAATAACTTGGAATTTAGCATCTTAATTTAAAAAACAGAATTCCAAAAGAAATTCCAATTTGATGGGTAATACAATCCAATATACAAACCATGGCAAAAGACTGGGGAGATAAATGATCTTCATTTGTTGGCTCCGTGGAATCAGGCGATTGTTCCTTTTCTTTGAAAATTTTTAAAGTTGCCAAAATATCTCCAAGTTCTGACCCATTCTAAGAAGCAGATAAAGATATAGTTAGAGGCATACAGTATGTAAAATTAATGATATTTAAATATTACATAGAAGGTTCTTATTAAATACATTCAAAAGTTTGAGTGTGTTTTAAAAATAATATTTTACCAATTTTTCTGCCATGTTAGCCTACTTATACAACTTAGCATAGTTGCTACCCACTCTGCTATTACAGATTTATAGTGAAAAAGAAGAGAATAAATGGCTTATTCTGGACTCTGATAAAACTCAGCTAATTTGTAACAGGATTTTTCTTCAAATTCAAAACTAAACCCATTTTGATTCTAAGCATACCTGTTGTTTGTACTATTCACTACAATGTTTGTTATCTTCTTCAATAGGATAGTGAAGAGGCTGTACTTGGAAGGATGCACAACAAATATGCATTCTCAACAAGGTTAAGTGTTTTTAGTAAACCACATTTAGGGACAATTTAACAACAATCCATTATAAAACTTCTAATATGCTGATCTTATTGTTTTAAACATGTAAGTGACCTTGTTTACTCTAGATGCTATAAAAAAACTCCTTTTTACAACCCTGTAGTTCCTTAATTAGGAGTAGAGTCGGGGCGACTGGATGGAGCTGAGCAGTGGTGGGATTCAGTCAGTTTGCACCAGTTCGGCAGAACCGGTAGCTAATTTTTTGTTGCCCAAGCCCAGAATGGACTTTTGGAAGCGGCATCCACACAGAGAACTGGTTGTTCACATATTCGAATACCACCACTGGAGCTGAGGGTTTACTGGCCTAATGCCCTTCCTAATGCCTATACAGAGTTTGCAGAAGATATTTTTTCTGCTCTCAACCTTCCGAATGTGTGTCAAAAGTAGAACCATTTTATACATATAAAGCATCCTCAGTGTGTCAGTATAGAGGTAATCCTTGGGTTATGACCACTTGTTCAGTTATGATCAGTACTTGAAATTGTGGCCATCACAATGTCCCCGCAATTCATGTGATCAAATTCAGGCACTTGGTAACCAGCCGCAATTACACTTGCAGTGTCTCACAGTCATGGGGTCACTATTTGCAACCTTTCCAGGCTTCCCACAAGCAAATTCAATGGGGAAGTTGGCAGAGTTCACAAGTCACTCCTGCCACTTTCTTCCCCAATGGATGGCATGGGGATCTTGTACTCTGTAGTGTCTGCCCACGATCATGTGACATTGTACTTTATGACTGCGTAATGAAATTCCAGTCCCAATTGCCATTGTAACCTAAGGACTATATGTACTGCATCCATCTACAATTTTGTTTGATACAGGCAACATTTTGTTGGGTAGCAGTAGTGTATAAATGAAAAGATCCTAGCCTGCATAAAATTAGCAGGAATATGCTTGAGATAAAAATGGACTTTAGTTTGCTTTGGCATACAAGTCCAAATGTGCCAAAACTGGCTGAAACCATCTTTACTGTAAGCAAGGAAAGCTACAACTAGGGCTGGTAACATAGTTCACTGTTTTTTGTATTTTTAATGGAACCTGTTGGTTATCCACTAAAAGGCAGTTGTGCCATTGTTTTCAAATGAAAACAAGCCCTGACTTTTCTGCGGTCTTAGAAAAGCTTCTTTGGATTCTCTCTGTTGTATTCAAGTGATTTTTTTCTCTTATGTGTAGTACAAAAAGGCATTTTGTAAAAGCCTTGATGGATGATACAGATCTATGGGCTCATCTGCTGATGCCCATGACATGCAGAAAATTATGCCTTGGAACATAAGAGCCAAAAAAAACCCCATAAGGATGAAAGAAATAATAAATCTCTCTGAGGTGTCTCTGAAAAATTGATAAATACATGCATCAAAATGAAGTATGTGCTTAATTATAAATAAAGGGACTAAAATGGATACCACGAATTATCAACTGATTTCACTTGTGAGTGTATATGAAAATAATTTATATGTTGGTGACAACTGTATGTTACACTCCATGGAATAGGAATGAGAACCAAATTTATCCACAAACTGCTCAGACAGATGATCATAACTTAGGATGACTGAATCTTGAAGCCCTTCCCCTAAAGGGTTTGGGTAAGCCCTTTGAGGTAGTCAAGACAAGAAGTACCAACCATGAGTAGTAATACTATCTTCACTGTAAAAGAGTAACAGAATTTTTGCAAGTTTGAAAGTATCTTTCACCTTCCTTACTTTTACTCTCTTGAAAACTAGAGTCCCTTCTGAGATGTTTTCTGTATCCCACCCCCCTTCAGACTCAAATTTTGTTTATCAGAGCATTGTCTAGGCCAGGGGTAGGCAACCTTGGCTCTTTTATGACTTGTGGACTTCAACTCACAGAATTCCTGAGTCAGCATGGCTGGTTCAGGAATTCTGGGTATTGAAGTCCACAAGTCATAAAAGAGCCAAGGTTGCCTACTCCTGGTCTAGGCTATGTCTCTTGCTCCTATCTTCCAAGGTTAATCCACATACCATTGCAGTCTGGTATATTTTGAATAGTGCAGCTAGCTAATATTTCAGGAAAGCAATAAGAATAGAAAAATAATTTTGCCACTCTTATGGCCATAGAGTAGACATCTTATATGTCTGGTTACATTTGCTTGTTTCTGCCAGTGTCATTTTAGATATCTCCTCACCCGTTTCATTTCCTGGAGTTCCTTAGTGAACAAAGAAATGTCAGAGGATCAGTGGACAAGGCCTACTGGCACCCAGGTTTCTCTATATTCCAGAGACTAGTAAAAAAATTTCAGATCATTGGGAAACTCTTCAAGTGTTCTCAGAAAGCCTGCTAAATCCATCAAAAATCTGGGGCATCTCAATAAGTCCCTCCTTCTTTCAAAGTTTGGCAGTTCCTTTTCACTGTCAGGAAATTGATCTGCCTTTGGCCAATAGATTTATGAAAAAGTCCTCTAGAATCAAATCATGATATAGTTGGTCCAAGATGAACACTACACCTAAACAGTGATCAGACACATAAGTTGGGACAGTGATGACCTGGGACAAGTCCATGTTTGTCATAGTAGCCATGAACCTCCAAGAAGACTTGATAGGTGAGGTTGAACTCATCCAGCACTAGCAGTGTGGGTGAATCCACAACCACCCTACACTAATAGTAGTTTGGTGAAGTTTACAATCAAACAACAGGTGTCTTGATCATAAGGAGAAAATGAATGAAAATCAAATAACAAAGCAAATGAACAGTGAATGGCACGAGGAGAAGGAGAGGGCCAATAAAGTCAGGTTTGAATCGAGTTGATGAGAACATCAGAAAGTGGTAAGAAGTTTATAAAACAAAAGCAATGTAAGAACTGGTATAATAAATAGCATTCTCCCTGAGATTTGGCTGGCCCCCAACCCTGCCTGCTTTTCAACCCTTGGTTTATGGTATGATCTGTTAAATAGGTTTTCCTGGCACTTTATGTGTTTTTGTTTTGGAGTTATGGGTTTTTTTAATGATTGTTTCATTGTGTTGTTTTTATTGATTATCTACCCATCCTGAGTCCTGGGCAAAATTAATAAATATCCCATGTAAGCAATTTCTAATTTTTGTGTCATTTATTAACTCAACAATCTTGTCAAATTAACATTCCAATGGGCCACTGATATAAAAGGCATCCATCTCATGGGCAATCAAGTCATACTCTGATTTATATTTAAGAAAGGCAGATAGGGGCCAATATCACTTCATGTTCAGAGCTTTCCTAATGATTATGTTATCAGCATAAATGTAATTCTATAGAGAAACAGCAACAAACAAAAATAAATGCAGTATTTAACTACTTTGGCAAGAACAGGAATTTATAGTTTCCAGATGTTGATCCACACATTCCCATCAACCCCAGTTAATCATGGCCAATTGTGAAGATAAAGTGGAATTGTTGTCCAACAACAAATGGAGGGTGGCAGAATTTCCCAGCTTTTCGTTATGGATTAATAAAACTGTTTCTTTCCAGGATATAGTCATATATATATATTTCTTTTTAGACAGCCATTTCCTACCTTTGCAGTTATACTGGGATCATGAACTGCAGATTTTTGTTCTATTTGTGTATTTGAGCCTTCATTTCTCTTCAGAAGCTTTATATTACTCTTACTTACATCTGCAAAATTCTGCAATTTAATAAAAGTTTTTTCATTAAATTGATTCTTATATATGAAAATATTGCAAAATAATTCTCCTAAAAACAACTACCAATATTTTAAAATCAAGCATAAGTTGTTCAAATAATTTTTAAACATTCTGTAATGACTCATCTACAACTATACACACGAGGAGGGTGAATGGTTCAGAAAACAGTCTTCCAAATTCGCTGCTTGAAGTCTTCATGCAAGTATCTTTTAGGTATGCACATACATACTGAAATGACATGGGAAGACCTCAGAGCAGCCTCAGTGAGTCTTCAAGAGGATACAAGAGGCACTTTCAACAACTTTAGCAGCAGGTTTAGAGGGATATTTTACTTGCTTCCTGTTCTTGGTGAAGGACCATGCAGCCCAAAATGATGTTAGGGATAGTGCTGTTCAGGAAACCATATTAAAGGTTCCTTGGTTTTGCAGACTTATATAGTGATTGGGATCACTCTTCATATTTCTATAAGGCCCAGTGGTCAAACTGAAGACAAATGATTCTTAATCTGTAACCTAGAGATTACTATTGGTCTTGGAGTAAATGACAAAGTAATTTCTAAATTACTAGGAATAACTACAAAATGTTAAAACATGTTGACATCTTGCAAAAGTGTGTGTATGAGGGGGAATATTAAAATACTGTGAAATTGTAATCCTTTCATATTCCAACCATTTCGTGAAATTCAGGAGTCATCCAGATGCCATTTTGGGGACCACAAATTTCTAACTTATGTTATAATCTGCATAAAGGAAAATACTGGAATAGCTTTTGTTAAGTAATACTATATTGCTTATCACAAATCTGCTTAATAATAAAATTCTGAAATGACTTCCATAAAAGACCTAACGAAAGTTAAATAAATAAATAAATAACAAAAGTACAATTATGTGTAGTCATATGCAAGCAGAAAGATAATTACCAGTTTGTTGGATATTTTTTGTATTTGACCTTCATTTCTTGGCTCTTTAGAATCTTCTTTGGCTTGAACTGAAAAATTCATACAACCAGTTTAAAGAGTAAAAATACAATGAAAAAGAAAATTTCTGTATGTGTCTACTAAAAACAAATCCATTAATTGTAGTAAGATTAATTGTTAAGTAGAACAGTGAGCTTTCTTCACATAACTCAATATATTTTTCCTAGCTTCCTTCATGGTTTATCTATTCAGATATTGTACTATGAAAGATAGAATCAGGATGCAAAGTTGCAGTGGAAAACTTCAAAAGTGCCGTTCATGGGAGAATTTTGAAGAATTAAAATCCACAGTCATGGACTATGGATTTAAACTTCTTTTGACACAGGATTCAGTGAGGCTCTTTTCAAAACAGGATTCCTATATTTAAAAGTTAAAAAATATTTAAAGTAAGTTAAAGAAGTTACACTCTACAGTACTTACATTTTCTAAACGAGTCCTGGGCTTTTTGCTGGCTTTTAAAGCTATTCTCATTGAAACCTGGTTTGCAGGACCTACTATTGGTACCGAATTTTACATATTGAGGTAAAAAAACTTCATCCTAGAAAATCAGATTTTGCAAGAGTAAGATTTTGCATAGACCACATACTTTAGAATATATAAAACATGAAAGGGTAATCTATGGTCTGCAGAAGAACCGTCTCTCTTCCCCCCCCCAATTTCCTATGTTTTATCATTGAAATTTAGTGCAGAGCACTTTGGCATATTGGAGGCAGTTTCTAGCTCCCTGAAAGAAATAAAGATCAGAAAAAGTTGAAAAATAAATATTTAGGAAATATATATTAGATGTATATTGCAAGACTTTCAGAAATATTCAGTCTTTGAACTGTATTTAACTGTCATTAAAACTATCATACAATGTGTTTAATTTTACATCCTAGCAAGTTGTTTAGGATTATCAACACAGAGTCTCCATGGCTAGTGAAATATTCAAGCTGGCCTTAGAAAAGGCTGAAGAACATGAGATGCTGTTGCTGCTCAACTGAGACAGCCAAAAATACAAAAAAAAACCTTAGTATGTGCTTTGTTGGTTATAGAAAGGCCTTTGATTTCGTGTCAAGCTATGGATTGTGCTTATAAAGATGAAAATCCCAGAACATCACATTGTCCTTATATAAAACTGACTTGGAAACCACTACCCAGATGGAATATGGTGAAACTGATTGGTTTCAATTTGGCAAAGGAGTGAGACAAAGATACAGGTAGTCCTTGACTTAAGACAAATTGCTTAATGACCTTCCTTCAAAATATTTACGATCTGGCTTTGAAGTTCCAACAACTGTGATTAACCCCACAGTCACATGACCGCATTTTGGGTACTCGGCAACTGGTCCATATTTACCCCATTGGGCAATGGTGGCAATTGAATATATGCAAGTACATACTTTGTCTGCTAAGGCTTTCATACCCTTCTGGATTTCTTTATAGCTAGTCACTGCTTGATTTATTTATTTTGGTAAATATTTATACTTTTCTTAGAAAACCCCTCCTCTTCTTTTATTCTTTGGCCTTATCCTCTTTTTGGGTGTGATCATTAACATGCCATATAAGATTGGTACAAATAAAATTGGCCCTTTTTACATATACTAACCACATCATCCTTATTTTGTGGGGAAGGCTGAGACTTTCCAGGGTTCTGCAATGATTGCCAAATGTTGCAAAATTCATCATCTTTTTTATTGTGGGCTTGCTAGGAAAGAAAAAGAAAACAAATAAAATTGAAACTGCCATGAAAACATATTGCAGGAAAAAAATCTGGAGTCATATGATTTTTTTCCATTATCACAAAAACTAGTCATGCCTTAAGTTTCAACAAAGTAGCAATTTAAAGTGCAGGCATATATCTTAGTTGCTTCAGTGAATACAGTAGCCATTCACATTTAAAAAGATAGAAGTGAAGACATGTTCTCATCTTTTCATGAACAGTTGCCCCATAATGGAGTATTACTATATTGTTTTGCAGAGACAGTACTAAATTCTACACCAAGAGGATTTTTACATTTTTTCCCTCCATTTCCAAGACAGAGTCATGTCCCAGGGCCTTGATCCACAAGATCAATCCTCTCCTCTTTTATATAGAAACTCTCAGCTTCCATGAATTTCTCATTTGTGCTTTTCAACTCTGTTTAGTACCATACAGTACAATCTCCCAATTGTTTTCTATCTCCCATTATTTCTAAAAGTAAACTGGTTCACAGCTAGCTATTATTACCCCTGTTGCTATTTCATTCTAAACTTTTGGGAATTGGAAGGATCCTTTTTTTTTAAAAAAAATAAAAACTCTGTTCTGATTCTGAGCTGCCATGACTTTATCAACTAAATGAGAAATTGGAAATTTCTTAGTCCATCCTATTCCATTTTTAAGAATACATAGTAATTCTGTTTAGCTAAAGAAGATTCACTGAAATAAATGGAAGAAAAATTAAATCTGATCTATACTTTTTTTATCATAGGTTGTCAAACTGTCATTTACTATGGCACTGCAATGCGAACAAGAAACAAGTTATATTGTAGAATTGATTTTATGGAGATACCATAAGGCATAAAGTACCATAAGGTGGTACTTTAGCACCTGGCAGGTGGTAGGTGACCCCTAGCCAAGTGTAGCGGGGGAAGGAACGATCTAAAGTGGCGCCACGCAGGCCTGGAGGAGATCAGCTGGAGCTTCAGGGCTCGGCAAAAGCCCCAAGATCTGCACGCACGGCTGCAGGCTGATTGGAGCTTCCGGCGCACCCGGAAGGGAAAAGGAGGAGGAGGGCGGAGAGAGGAGAAGCTATGAAAGGAGCAGGTTTTGGCGGGAGAGGAAGAAAAAAAACACGGAGAGAGAGAAGAGGCTTTTGTTAGTGAATCGATGAGGAGAGCGAGCAAAAAAAGCCTTTGGAAGCAATGGGGCAGTGAGTAAGCGGATTTTGGAAGCGACGAGGCAATGAGTGAGCGAGCGAGCAAGCAGCCTTTGGAAGCGACAGGGCAGTGAGTGAGCGAGCCGCCTTTGAAAGTGATGGGGCATTGAGTGAGTGAGAGAGAGTGAGTAAGTAGCCTTTGGAAGCGACAGGGCAGTGAGTGAGACAGCGAGTGAGCAAGCAGCCTTTGGAAGCGACGGGGCAGTGAGTGAGACAGAGAGTAAATGGCCTTTGGAAGCAACAGGGCAGTGAGTGAGACAGCGAGTGAGCAATCAGACTTTGGAAGCGACAGGGCAGTGAGTGAGAGCGAGCCATGAAGTGGCCTTTGGAAGCGACGGGGCAGTGAGAGAGAGTGAGTGAGCAAGCAGCCTTTGGACGCGATGGGTCAGTGAGTGAGCGAGCGAGCGGTCTTTGAAGCGACAGAGCAAGCGAGCGAGCGGCCTTTGGAAGCGACGGGGCAGTGAGTGAGAAAAAGAGAGCAAGCGACCTTTGGAAGCGACGGGGCAGTAAGTGAGAATGAGTGAGCAAGCCGTCTTTGGAAGCGACGGAGGAGTGACGGAGCGAAAGAGTGAGCAAGTGGCCTTTAGAAGCGACGGAGGAGTGAGTGAGAGACCGAGCGGCCTTTGAAAGAGACGGGGAGTGAGTGGGGGAGAGACAGAGTGAGAGGCCTTTGAAAGAGATGGGGGAGGGAGGGAGGGAGGGAGAGACTGAGTGAGAGGCCTTTGAAAGAGATGAAGGAGTGAGTGGGGAAAGAGACTGAGTGAGAGGCCTTTGAAAGAGACGGAGGAGTGAGTGGGGGAGAGACCGAGCAAGAGGCCTTTGAAAGAGACGGGGAGGGAGGGAGGGACCGAGTGAGAGGCCTTTGAAAGAGACGGGAGTGAGTGGGGGACAGACTGAGCGAGAAGCCTTTGAAAGAGATGAGGGAGGGAGGAAGGGAGAGACCAAGTGAGACGCCTTTGAAAGATGGAGGAGTGAGTGACAGCTAGCGGAGGCTTTTGCGAGCAAAGTGTGTGTGTGGGGGGGGCTTTTGCAAGCGAAGGTTGAGAGAAAAAGGGAAAAGTGAGGGGGAGAAGGAAAAAACAAAAGAAAAGGCATTGACTTCTGACTTCCTCTGTTGCAGTAGAAGGAAGCATTAACTTTTTACTTTTCCATATTATAAACTAGCCATTTCTATAACAACAAATGAATCTAACCAGTAAAACCCAAAATCCCCCCCCCTTTTTTTAGTCATCAAGTTTTTGATACCTTGCTAAGCACTGGTGGTACTCTAATATTGTCATGTCCTAAAAGTGGTACAAATCTCTGAAAAGGTTGAAAAGCCCTGCCATAAGGAATTGGTTTAATTCAACTAATTAATAAATAATAAATAAAATAAGATTAAGATTTCATTAATTTTGGAATAATCTCATCAACGTTTAGATAATTTGATGTATAAATCACAGGTCATTCAGTACTCATAAACATAAAAGTGTGCCTTGGGGAGACAGACAGCATTATATATTTATTAAACAATTTTTTTTTACATAAACACATTTCTTCACATCTTTTAAAATATGTTGTACTTTTCTTGAATTTATTCCAACTGGCTATATTTTGGAATATGTGTCCAATTTATTGCATTTGCTTGAAGTTATTTATTTCATTTGCATTACTTTAGCTTATGATTATCTTATTTAGAAATTGATTTTAATGTATTATGTCATCATGTATCTTAAGAATACTGAAAAATACAAATGTACCAAATAATATATAATCTTTTTTCACTTTACTACTTATTTTAGTATAAGCTAACTGACAAACCCTAAACCGACTTCCTACACAACCCAAAACCATTTACCCAAAGGTAGCGGATAAAAGGACTTACTTTACATTTCTGATGGTTACTTGTATAGGTTACTTTATGCTGAGAACTGGAATTGCCCTGCTTTTCTGCTTTGATACTATAGTGCTGTCTTCCATTCAATTGCTGGATAATAGATTAAGAAATAAAACAGAATAACTTTCCAATTTTTCCATTTATTTAAAATATTACACAAACAGCTATTTTTTTCTTACATAGTACTATAAATTAACAGGCCAACAATATATACTCAACAACTTTAACAATAACTGTTATGGGACATTATTTATTTTGTTTCTTTTGATAATATTATGGAACAGAATTTCAAATACATGTAAAAATCAACTTCTCTGATATATACACCAATAACTAAAGTGCTCAAGGCACATCTAAGAATTATTTCCTTCCTTGGGCATATACTATTGCTGCATTTATATCATCATCATCATCATCATCATCATCATCATCATTTTAGCCATTGTCTATCCACTGCAGGATGAAGGCCTCTTCTGTATGTTTCCAACCAATATGATCTCTTTCGTGGATGCTTTTTATGAAGTGGGATCCATTCTATGACTTAGCAAGCTAAGCATAATTTTCAAAAACAACCTCCCCCTATGCCTGAAGAGAAAAGTTTTCAATCGATACAAAAACTATGAGTGGCGCAAAGAGCCATGGAACATGCTTGGCATTACAAGACAAAATAGAAAGACTTGCATATGGATTAGAGAACAAAAATATACAATATCATCCAGAGAGTAAAAGAATTTAAATGGAAATGGGTTGGTCACATAGCAAGAAGAATTGAATGGCAGCTAAACCAAGGCAGTCATAGAATGGATCCCACTTGATAAAAAGCATACACGAAAGAGACCTAAAACAAGGTGGATCGATGACATCAGCAAGTTATTGTGAGCCCAATTGGCAAAAGCTCAGAACCGTATTGGTTGGTAACATGAGGAAGAGGCTTTCATCCTGCAGGAGATAGACAATGGCTAAAATGATGATGATGATGATGATGATGATGAATTGCTATAAAAGAAAATCAGAAATCATTTCTTTACAATCTTTTTTCTTTCCTTCGATTTTTCCACATTTGTCTTTGCTCCTTTATTCTTTCCTTTTTTCATTCTAGATATTTGGTGATGTTAGTTTTTATTCTGTTTTCAAACTTCTAATAAAGTTTATTAAAAAAACAAGAACTATCATTTCCTCCTTTTATCATATATAAAGTCTGGATAAATCTGCATTAACTATTCTTTTGTGTGTTTGTGTGGGTGTGTGCTCCTTTGGGTCAGGGTTGTTTGTTTTGCACTTGATTCCAGGCAAATACCTGGAAAAGTCCCTGCAATTTTCTTGGCAAGATTTCTGAAGCACTTTGCCCTGGCCTGCTTCCAAGGTCTGACAGAGAGAGAGTGAGTGAATGGCACAAGGTCACAGCTGGCTTCATACCTAAGGCAAGACTAGAACTCATGGCTAGCCTAGTACCTTAACCACTACACCAAACCAGCTCCGCTAATTATTATGACAATTATTAAGCCTTGTTCAAATTTAGCTATGCTTTTACTAGCGTTAAGAGAATAACAATATCTTTATTTTTACGATACAACTGGGTAACTGAATTCACACTTACTTGAGTTGGAACAAAGAGAGAACGAGGAGAATGATTGAGGCCTCCTAGCTGTGCTTTTTGGGAAGATACAGAAAAGGATTCAGATAAATATGAGTTGTAGGAACTCACAGCTGGCTGTGGCTTAACTATAGCTGTTAACTTCTGACTTCCTGTTTCAGTTCGATAGCCATAAGAGATGTTAATTAAGGCACAAGCTGGTATACGGTATCCTCTGGAAGGTGAACTCCTAATGAAAGAAAGGAAAGGAAAACAACTTTGTCATGGTATTATTCATATAATTTCAAACTATATATTAAAATATTTATAGAATATAAATATTTAATATTTTGGATGGAACATAAAATGAACTTGATTAACACACTTCAGACCCAGTTTTATGCGGTTGAGTGAATGGCTGGATGGAGGTGTTTTTGATCTCTATTTCTCATCAATAAAATGAAAGTTTATAAATTTACAATGACAATAAAATAGATAATAAAGAACACAATTACTAGAAAAAATATTTTTAGTGTTACCTTCTTAACACAATTATTTTGTTTCTGAGGTTCTATTGAACACTTAAGAAAAACAAGCAATTGTCTGCAACAAACCTTATTGTCAAACCTCCATGAAATTCTTCATCAAACAGTACTTCATACAGCACATCAGATTCTCTGCTAGCTAAAGAAAATATACATTGTAAGCAATATCATCAAATGTGAAATTGCTAGAGAAAAAATATTATTGCTTATTACTACAATTTCCATATTCAAAGACCATTGTATTTATCTCTAGAGCTACCAATTAAGAATTTTCAGGACCGTCCTCTATACTGGCTTCCCTTCCTGGACAATATAGCTGACTACTTAGATCAGAGTTTCCCAACCTTTTGGGGTTGGTGACCTGAAGTGGGGGGAGGGGGGAAAGAAGGGATGGTTTTGTGGGAGAGGTAAATGTGTGTGCGCTCATGTGCATATGCATGAACATCTATTGCTCACGTGAGTGAAGCCACAAACCGGCGATGCTCATGTGAGTGGGACCGAGAATGCTGGTGATGCTCGCGTGAGTGGGGCCATGAACACCAGTGATGCTGGCACGAGTGGGACTGTGCACGTGTGCACACAAGCACACACCGACCAGCCACTCATGCGGCTCGATGGCCAATAGGCCACGGCCCAGTAGTGGGCAGCAGCCCACAGGTTGGGAACCCCTGACTTAGACCATCTTCATCAATATGGTTCCCTCCAAATGATTTGTATTAGAAATCCCAGAATTTTCAAATATTATGACTAATGAGGTGTTATAATCCAGAGGAAGAATTCTTTGATTTATTTTTATAATTCCCACAGCTGTGCCAAAGCATGCCATCAGATTTGGTTTTCAGCAGCTCACTTTTTAATTTTTTTTTATGTGCATGAACAAAATCATAATATTTCTTCCCTGTACACTCTGGTGCTGACTATGCACCCATTGTAAGAATTTTTCTGGCCTTCTTGATGAAGTTATAGTCCACAACACTAAGTTAAAATAAATTGGTTTAAATGAAATAAGAATTTTGTGTAATGGGAATGGAGGTTGCCTCTGTCTCACATCTTGAAATAATCTGTTGATGATTTCTGTATTATTGACATGTGCGTCAATGAGCTTTAAAGTAGTTTCAGTCTTATTAGAGAAATACCACCAAAGTCATGGTGTTTTTAAAATGAGAATATGTACAAAGACAATGTTATGTGAGCTAATGCACATTCTCAGCCTTCCAAAACAAGAAAAAAAATAATCAAAGAAGACAACTGATAGCAATGTGTTTTTCTTATATTTTATGCAAATAACAAATTAATATAGTTAGGGCTTCCCCACGTTTGGTTATACTGTAGAAACATGTGCCCAAATGTTCATTAGTTCTAAGTGCTACAAAAGCACTATAGATTTGTTTTTCTATAACAACTCATCCAATCACAGTTGCCTACTCCATTCCCCAATAAACAAGGGCTGATGTATAGTGCAGACATTATGTTTTAAAAAAGATTAACAGCAGTGGCCACACAATATGCAAACAAAACCATTATGTCATTTCTTTGGATCCAAAGTATATGTATGAAACGTCATTTGTAAAACAGCTTTCCAATTCTTTCCTGTCCCCAAAATTCTACATTTTGAAAGGTCTAGAGGCCCTTTAAAATAGCTTGAACTATGGTGCAGGGTACTGCAATAAAACAGCAAAGGCCATTTGGTGCAGACAAATTCTTATGCTCAACTGCAGCCCGTGTAATTCAGGTGACTCTCCAAGAATACCAAGGAAAGTATAGACAAGCCCCACATAGAATTTTGAATTTAGCTCATTAAAACCAACAAAAAGATCTATCTTTTTAACTTCAGTAATTTTGGATAAATATCAGTTGATAGTAATCAGCATTTTTTAAACATAGAAATCATTCACAAATCAAAGGCAGGATTATCAAAAGCTAAAAAGAAATTCAGCCGTACCTCCTTTAATTCCTATTATAGTACCACGGAGTCCAAGGGGAACAGAAAAGTTCTCTCTCACATTCACAACACGATCAAACAATCGATATTCTGCATCTTGATCTGGTAAAATTCCATGTTGTTGTTCTAAAGGCTAATAAAACCAAAGATTTAAATTAAAGCAAAAATACCTAAATATGAATATAATATAGAGTAAAAGTAGTTATATATGCCTGTTGGGTATTAATTCTTTGTGCAATTTTATTAAAATGAAAAGATTAAATAATCATGTAATGTTCTGTTCACTATAATGATCTTATGATGCAGGATGCTTTCTCAGTAGAAAGTAATCAGACTCTAAATCCGGCCAGCAGAAAATATAGTAAGGTTCATCTACACCAGCGGTTCTCAACCTGTGGGTCGTGATCCCTTTGGGGGTCGAACGACCCTTTCACAGGGGTCGGCTAAGACCATCGGAAAACACATATTTCCGAGGGTCTTAGGAACCAAGACACTAAATGAGTTGTCTTCAACTCCTGAGGCGTCCACCGAAGGGAAATCACTGCTATGCCGCCTTTTCCGTACCCAGACCCTGGAAACACCTCGTCCCTGCTCGACATCTCGGCTTGTATTGCATCCTTCCTGGCTGTTTCCTCCTCGGCCCCACTGGATTCCTCCCAGCTTCTGCTCGACTCGTCGCCACCTCTTGCTTTGTTGATGTTTCACTTAGTTTTAATGCGCAGTTCCCAAGATGGAGGCAGCGCTGGGGCCACGCGAGTTGCTCGGGCTGGTGGCAGGGCTCCTTCTGCTGCCTCCAAGCCTTTTCACCCCGGATCCGACAGCCGCCTTCTCCCAGGTGGTGAGCCAGGTAGGCAAGGGAAAGTTTCTTTGAGGGCCTCCACTCAGGTCTGGAAGGGTTGGCACCAGAGCCAGGAAAATGTGTTTGTGTATGTGTGTGTGTTGTGTGTGTGTTTTGCTTCAAGACAAAATTTCATTTATTTGTAATTAGAAATAAATATTTCACAATATATAATTACATATTGTTTTTGTGATTAATCACTATGCTTTAATAATGTTCAATTTGTAACAATGAAAATACATCCTGCATATCAGATATTTACATTACGATTCATAACAGTAGCAAAATTATAGTTAAGAAGTAGCAACGAAAATAATTTTATGGTTGGGGGTCACCACAACATGGGGAACTGTATTAAAGGGTCGCGGCATTAGGAAGGTTGAGAACCACTGATCTACACCATCGAACCAGCATTGCCATTTTTTTACATACCTTGTTTATTAATTTTACAACAGAGGTCCCCAACCTTTTGGGCACCAGGGACCGGTTCCGTGGAGAGAGGTTTTTCCACGGACCGGAGGATGCGTGATTTTGTGTGCTGCCTGCATCCTGCAAATGGGGCTTTGCTTGTTTGTGCAGACCAGTTGCTGGCATGCCGCGACCCGGTATTGGTCCACAGACCGGGGGTTGGGGACCCGTTTTACAATATGTAAAATGGAGGAAAAAAAGAGGAAGCTGGTATCAAACATGAAGCCTCCCTTGAGTCAAGCTTAACTCTTGATGATTACATGATACATTCATGTTTCTTTCTTGGCAACAGGAAATTGATTTGCTACTGCCTTTACCAAAAATCCCCATGCAACTATAGTTATATTAAACTTACTCTGTATAATAAGTGAGGTTTCACTGTCACACGCACTTTCTTATTACTTTTTCTTTGCTAAAAAAAGAAAAAATAATTGGATGAAATCATTCATAGATTATTATTGCCTTACAAAGTTAAAAAGTCATATATTGTAGCCCACATAAATGATAACACTGATAGTGAATCTATCTATATTCCTTAGCTTAATGTGTATCGCTCAACCTAATTTTAAAACCATTCTGTAAGATAAATTCAGGAGTTATGTAACAGCTCTTATTACACAGGTCTTAATGGATAATCCATGAAAAATATGATCTTTATATAAAAATATTTATTCATTCCCATTCCAAATATTGTATTGAGAGACAATCACACGATATAACCAATGTAATGGTTCTATTCTCTTGTTTAGAATTCTCCAACATCAAATACTGATCTACATAACTGAGTATAAAGGAACATAACCCAACAAGAGCAGAACAGAGATGAACCCTATAAACAAAACCTTCAGTATAACCTTAGATGTATGTGACTTCATGAATGGTAAACTCTATTCAAAATTTATCTAAATTAAGGTGGCTCAGAGGCCCCCAACCTTTTGGGTACCAGGGACCAGTTCCGTGGACAGAGGTTTTTCAGCACACCAGAAGGGGCGTGGTTTAGCATGCTGCCTGCATCCCACAGATGGGGCTTCACTTGTTTGCGCAGCCCAGTTCCTGGCATGCCGCAGCCCAATGCCAGTCCACGGACCGGAGGTTGGGGACCCCTGAGGTGGGTAATATAGATTATCTATATATAAACAAGTAAGTTATCTGGTAAGCTGGTAAGATCTCCTGCATGCTTTATTTTTTTAAATTGACTTTTTTATTGCTTTATAGTCCAAAATTACACTCAAATATACATAATGTACAACATTCTAATAGCAATGTAAATGACATTTGAAACCTAATTACAATATACTGTGATAAGTATGAGATCATTTAGACAATATTTTATGTACCTTGCATTTGTCTATTTCTTCTTCAATCTTTTCAATGATAGCTGCATCCAGAATTTGCAAATCACAAGATGAACGTGAGAGTGTACTGACAGGATGAGTCTTTAGCCATGACATGATTTCTTGAACCTTCTCAGCACTATATTAAAAATTATTCCATATTAATAATCATCAAGATGTAAAATCTGATACAGTCAACATGTAAATATTATCAAGTGGCAAATTATTATGTATTATAAAGATTTGTTTTTTAATATGTCCTAATGTAAGAAAAATAGATATAAGCATTGCCCCAAAGCTTAAAAATTACATCAAAGCTGTCAAAGCAAATCTGAAAATTATAATCCAATTATTTTGTTTGGTAGATATAATTTTATTACTGGTAACCATTTGTTCTATGCCACAAAATAGGGCAAAAAGAAAAAACCTCTACAAGCCCTATAATTCCTTGGATCTAGATTATATGTTTTCAAAATAACAATAGTGTTCTTAAGAGACAAAAAGTATGTCTGGAATTAATATATTCTTCAAATAAACACAGATATGGTGCCAATTAGTTCAACATAATACTAGAAAGGGATTAATCCAAATGATTGCAGCAAAGTGCAAAAATATTTCAGAAATCAGACCCAGTGACAAAACTTGTAGTGTAGACTTAAGATACAGTATTGAATTTGTCCAAGTTCATTATACCTTAAAATTCTAAACTTTGCAATTTAAAACAAATATAGAAAATCTCCATTTCATCAAATAAATGGGGCCTTGAACAAAATCCTCTTCCAATCTCTCTCTACAAGTGCATTATCTGCAGCAAATGAAAATTAAAGTGGACGATACTTGAAAGAAGGCAGTCATTACCTAACTTTTAATAACCATGTATGTAATCTCAACAAACATGAACCTGTGGATCTCAGCCTAAGGGGTAAAGATGTAGAGTGACTAAGATCAATACATTTAAGACACCTACAATGGCAGGCTGTACTTTGATGACTCTGCAGCATCCATTTTGGCTTTCTGCTTTATTTTACATTTAACACTTTTCTGTATATGGAAATGGCTGCTATTGGGTGCAATACACTTTTGAATGGAGCTTACCCACATCCCTTTAGCTTTGTCTATGGAGATTCTCAGTCATCCAGGTCATGGTTGTCCCAAATATGCTTTTTCAAAAGGCAACTGGACTAAAGTATTTCTAAAGTATTCATATTTTAAATATTCCATATATGTATACTCCTGCCACTGAACACACAATACAGCCATGAGATCATTTCTCATTCCCTTTTCACCATGAAGCACCATTTTGAAATAAAATAACAAAAGCAGGTTTTGACATTTTGTAATTGGAAACAATAATAATAATTCAGAAACACCTCGAGCATCATTTGAACATTACTGGCATTGACAAAATCACTACCAGTCAATTGCAAAGGTAGCTTTACTTGGAACAGCTTACATCCTGTGACAATATCTTCAGCATTATCAAACAAGATCTGCCTATCCCTAGTCCTTGGGAAGGATTCGATAAAAATATCAAATCCAATCTAATCATCTCACTGATTGTGCAACCAACTTTAATAACTGGACTTAGTCTTTGCGAGCCCCCCCAAATACCTGACAAATAGTATTTTGACTGCTTGATAGTAACTAGACAGCCTACAACCATGAAAGAATACTGCATGAAATTGTTCCTCCTTGATCAGAAGATTTATCTACTTATTTACTAATCTATCAAAAAATATGAACTACATACCCATTCTCCTCTTCACCAGGCCAAATGTCATCTTCATAAAATATATCTTCTGGATTATTTTTGGCTAAGTAAGTAAAAAGTTCTGGTACCCTGAAAAATAAATTGCATATGCTTTGCACTGAAACACTAATGTAACACAGATATGTAACTTTTAAAAAAGTTACAGATGTTTTTTCCAGTATAATGCAGAAGCAATCATGTAACTTTCATGATGTGAAAGATATGGATACAGTTTTCTATCACACATAATGGTAGTATAGTACCCAAGGAATAATCCACTATATTCACATAAGGAAAGTTTTAAAATTAATTTAAAATATTTCTTCATCCAGTCAATATACTACTAAAATTTTGTTTAGGGGGATTTTCCGTCATCCAGGTCACAGTTATCCCAAAGGTGCTTTTTCATGAGGCAACTGGACTTTCTTGTTTTTCTTTGAAGACATTTAGCTTCTCATCCAAGAAGTCTTCAAAGAAAAACAAGAAAGTCCAGCTGCCTCCTGAAAAAGCACCTTTGGGATACTAAAACTTTGATTCCTCTAGCAACAAAATGGTTTATCGTAGGGCAAAACATTTGAACCAAGGTACATACCTCAAATGGGCTAACTTACAGAATGCATCCAAAATTCAGGGCCAATAGAACTGAAATTTGGCCAATTTTAAAACCTTTTATGACATAAAAATAATCATAAAACTGTTTATGGCATAATACAAATTATCATAAAACATGTCCTGTGCTGATGTTTGACTATGATATACAGTTCAGTAGGGGCTATTTTCAAGGCAGGACATCTTTGATCATATCTGTTTTTCCAGTGAAGGCAGTACATTAGAAGCTTTGCCAATGTTGAAGACATTGAGGAATCTGATAAGGAAATATCTCTGAAAATATGATGCAAGCAGTCACTTGTTCTCTGGTACATTATCAAACTATGAAATGTACTATCCTCAAAATTGGTGAAGTCTGGGAATCAACATTGTTTTGAAAAAAGAATACATAATTTTGGCACAATATGTCTTTTATTTAGTTATTTTTCTTTTTAATTGGCTATTAATTACCTGGAATCTAAGTGACTAAGCAGTCATACAAACTGAAAAAATAAATATATAGAATAAACCATAAATAGCTAAACCCAAAATCAAAGCCAGTAAGATTAAGAGGCCAGTTGCTAGGGAGAAACGATATTTAGGTTTCTAAATAGATGAAATAAAGAGAATGCTTCAATAGACTGTTAGCTGGATCCAACAAAGCTCCCTATAATAATGCTATAAAACATTATCAATCACAAGGATAAACACACAAGTCCACAACAAATTTTAAGCTTACCTTTCTAAATATTCAGCTAGAAACTGTTGCACTGCAGAGGAGTACATCCATTCATTTCCAACTTTTTTAGTGTAGCCAGGGACTTCTTCATTCCTCTTATTGAATTTCAGATTTAAACCTACATTTGCTTTATGGTCTCCACGTGGACTGCAAAACAGATGGCGAATGTTAACTCTATTTATTGCAATTTACTAAAATTCTAATACTAATTTTACTATATATTAATATTAATACAATATTCAGTTTTCAATTTTCAGTATTGGCAGAAAAAGAGGATGAATATTAATAAAATTTAAACTAAGTCTGAATGATTTATTTAGCAAAATAAATGCTCATAGTCACTCATGGCTTGGTTATTTCCATGCTGGATTGCTGTAACATGATCTATAGCAGGGGTCCCCAACCTGTGGGCCATGGCCCACTACCAGGCCGTGGCCACTTGGCCACCAGGCCGCATGAAGGGATGCCATGCACTCACAGCCCCCACACTCATGCTAGCGGCAAGCATCCCGCTAGCACTATCGCCACTCCACGCATCCCGCTGGTGCTAGCGTGGCCCCACTCCCAAGCGTCCCGCCGGCGTTAGCGCCACCCCCAGCATCACCCACCCCCAAGGGGGTAGTACATGAAATCACGCCCCTTCTGGTCCACAGAAAAAATGCTCTCCACGGAACCGGTCCCTGGTGCTCAAAAGGTTGGGGACCTCTGATCTCCAACAGTACATGAGTTTATCTTTGAAACTCACCCAGAAATTACAACTAGTTCAGAATGTAATGGCACACACAGTTCTAGGTATTCTATGGTTTGCCCTTATCATACTGCTACTGCCTGAGGTGCTATGACTTCTAGTTTCTTTCCTGACATAATTCAAAGTGTTGGTGATCATCTTAAAAGCCCTGAATAGCACACAACCAGGTTATTTGTGGAACCTCCTCTTCATGAGGGTATCTATCAGTCCTAACAGATCAAATAAGGTCCATGTGCTTGAAATCCCCTCCTTAAACTCTATAATCTGGCAGAACCTAGGAGGTATGCCTGTTGTGTAGTTGTACCTACTTGACAGGACTGAAGCTATCAGAAACTGATGCTAAGGCATTCAGTATCCAGAGGTCTTGCCATAGGTTGCCTTTGGAAGTGAGTGCTTTGATTCCTTACAGTTCCAAATGAAGCACAGTCTGTATATTTACTTGGAGACAACCTAGGAAGACCCTGAAGAACTTATGCCGAGCCTTCAAAAAGTCAGCTGCCTAAATACTTCAAGGGGACACATTAATCTTATCAGTTATCACTCCTCAGCATGTAAAATATGTTCTGCCTCCATATCTCTAATTGCTTCTCTTCTTCCTGTTTCCATTTCTCTTTCCTGATAAATTATGCTCAAATTCAACCTATCCATGCTTTGGAATATGTTTTAAAAATGTACATACAAGAATTTCACATGGGGAAGAGGATAGAATATTAGACAAAGTATTTTATAAAGGAAGTACATTTTAACAATGCTTTATAGCTTTATCAGAAATTTTACAAAACAACAGTAAGCATTCTTTTTAATAAAAAACAGATACAGTAGTAGACTTACAACAGTTCATTTAGGGACAGTTCAAACCTACAATGGCACTGGAAAAAGTGACATGACCATTTTTCACACTTACGGCCGTTGCAGTATCCCCTTGGTGACATGATTTATATTCAGATGTTTATATTTATGACAGTTGTAGCATCCTGGGGTCATGTGATCACCTTTTTGAGACCTTCTGACAAACAAAGTCTGTGGGGAAGCCAGATTCACTTAACAACCTTATTACTAACTTAACAACTGCGGTGATTTGCTTAACAACTTTGCGAAGAAAGGTTGTAAAATGGGACAAAACTCACTTAACAAATTTCTCACTTACCAACCTAAATTTTGGACTCAATTGTGATCATAAGTCGAGAACTACCCATAATAGCATTTCTAACTCTTGTGGGTCAACTGGCCTTCTGATGAGCTTTCAAGTGCCAAAATACTCTCAATGAGTTCACTGGCTCACAAAAAGGGACAATCCTTAGTGATGTAAAAGTGCAGTGAGTTATGTTTTTGAAAAATAGTATTTGCGCACTTATTTCCTTATCATACTTCATAAATGTGTTCTTTCCAATTTTAAACTAAAAACTGGGCACAGCTAACATAAAATTGTCTTTCTTGACACTGCACAATCTATTCTCTCTATGCTAAGTGCACAAATAAAGGGAGAGGGTCTACTTCCATTAATTTTTCTCTGTGAAGACCAATATTCAGAGCAAATAGGAAGAATCAGATTAACAACATTTTAATTTGGGTTTAATTCAAATGTAATTAGATAATTCACTGCAAAATGGTATTATATTCCAAACTTACTTTCTCCTGGCTCCTCTTCCAATAAAAATGCTTCCTGTAAATCTTGACACAAGATAACTGCTCACTCCAAGGCGACTGGCCAACACATATGCAGGATTATATTTCACAGAATATTTCTAAAATATCAAATATTTACTTTTAATGTTTGAGAACTATATTAACATTTATAGGACTTGTATCAACCTTCTTCAATTCACAGGCAAATGTATACAAGCAAGCAAGTAGGATGTCAAGTCCCAGCTGAAGAAGCCCAATCAAGCAAGACACCAGAGTCATAGCATTCTCTAATGTAAATTTTTATTGGACAAGAATCAAACTGGCATAACTGAATTAAAGCTAGCTCTGAGGAAAAGGTGGGAAGCAGACAATTAAAAGAATAAAATCCTCCCTCCCCTCTCTGACAGTTCAGGTCACATTGTCCAATACATCTTCTGATAATTGTTATGACAAGAACCTTCCATTCGCCAAAATAACAGCTCTCAGTTGTCACGGTGATAAAAGACACCTGTAGACCCCAACTCTCCCAAACCACACCCCCGTTCTGTTGGCAAGCAAGAAGAATTAGAGTGGTCCTAAAGGCAGTAGATTTCGTAGCTTGACAGAGGATATGTAATTTCTGAAATGGTATGTAATAGGATAAGAAACTACTGAGGTTCACAGTGTATCATTTCTAATAAAAAAACAAAAAGAATAAAAATAATGAAACCAGCATTTGTTGAATAAAGAGCAAAAAGAGGTACTATGAGAGTGATGGGGGGCATTAATATGTCAGGAAAAGTTGGCTGTTGGAAGAAAAGAAAAACAGAAAAAAGAAAAAAATCTTTCTTTTTGATAGATTTACAAAGAAATTTAAAAAATATATAGGTACTCCTCGACGTAACAGACTGTTCGAAATTACAATGACACTGAAAAAAACGACTGATGACAGTTTTTCACACTTATGACAGTTGCAGCATCCCCAGTCATGTGATCAAAATTCAGACGCTTGGCAACTGACTCATATTTATGACAATTGCAATGTCCAAGGCGATGTGATCACCTTTTCCAACCTTCTGACAAGCGAAGTCAATGGGGAATCCAGATTCACAATCACTTAACAACCATGGGCATAAAATAGAAATGAAAATTAAAATAGTGGGAAAACGGGAAAAGGGAAAAGAGAGAAGTGAAGGATGAAGGGAAGAACATAAGTAATTACTATATATGCATAGGTAATTTTCTAATCTAGTCAATGGAGGAAGTTTATAATTCTAAACTGGCAATACGTTTCTTTAAAACATATTTAAATAAAAAAGCTTGAAAACCAGTTCAAAATACTTTAGAACCTTTAGGTTCTAGTGTATGTGTACAAAAATATAATAGGAAAAAATGAAAGTAAAAGAACGTAGTTGTTAATTATTTGAAGATTTTTCCATTGTGTTGAATTATTTCCCGAAGGATTAACATGAACTCTGCAAGGTATTCCACTGCTAGAGAAATAACACTTACATGCTGATTCTGTATTAAGATATCAAGCTGAGGTTCAATTGGAATGTTGAAAACAACACGGATTCTGCCATCTGAGATAACATCTGAGGAATCCTGAACCTAAAAAAAATAATTGATATACTCAGGTTCACAATGGAAAAAAGTCTTCCAAATATCTATAGCGATTACAGGTAGGTCTTGACTTACGATTGTTCGCTTAACAGTTCAGATTAACAGCCTTAGAATGTGTGCTTTATGGCCTGTAAAGCATTTCTGATCACTGCACTTACCCATCTCTGTCATGTGATTATGATCTGGTTGCTTGACAACTTGTTTGTATTTACAACCAGTTACGAGCATCCTGTGATCATGTGACTGCCATTTACAATCTTCTCTGCCAATTTCTATAGAAAGTCAATGGGGTAGCCAGAAGAAAAGATTGGAAGATGCTGCTGCCTAACAAAAAGACCTTATCTTTGAGGAATGGCTGAAAGAGCTGCCTGCCAAAGGATTTCAGCTCCATGCCTACTTGACGCAAAGCTGAAATCCTTACTGCCTGCTTGCATGGAGCTGAAATCCTTCTGCAGGGAGCCAGCCCCCAGAAATAACAAATAACAGAAAGCCAAAATTAAGCCAGATTTTCAATCTGAATGGAAAGGCAGCATGGTACGGTAAGGAGTGTGGGTGCTTCAAGGGGATGGGGAGACCCAGTGCAATCACTTGGATTTCAGCAGGGAGGATTTTCAGCTGCTGAGAGGAAGACATTTGTGCTTAGTCTGCACCGGGCCTCCCTCACCCTCAAGTCACCCTGCACTTTTTACCTCTCTCCACTTAACAAGTGCAACCAGGAGGGCCAATATTATAGACATTAAATAAGACAATCATGTGATGTCTCACTTAACAACCACTTCACTCAACACCTGAAATTCCTGTCCTAATTGTAGTTTTTAAGCACCTTTTCTGTGAAAAAAATAAGAGGTGGGAATGTTATGTATGTTGCTTGGAGTTCTAGAAAATAAAGACAAGACAAAAATCGAATGAATAAATATATTTTAAAAAGTGATAAAGGCAATTACAAAGTCATATATTCAACAGACAGACAAATGATAGTTCAAAAAAACATAGATAAGCATTTGATTTATTTCTGATAGTTTTAAATTTATAAAATGGAAGATTATTTTGAAACTAACTTCTCCTGTGCAGCCATAATAAGGTGTTCCTATCATGAAAACTGTGCATCCAAGAGGGAATAGGTCATCCAAAGTTTTTAGTTTGGAGAAGTGGCAATCAAAAGTTTTTATATCCTGCCAAAAAAAGCCAGAAAGATACATCACATTAAGACAATTCACACTAACCACTGTAACAATGCTTGCCAATGATCTATTTTAAAACAGCAAGTTTTACTCTTCAGTGAAGATACTTATCCATGAATAAATTTAGGACTTTCTTTTAAATAATGTCCTTCACCTGTTCAGCACAGTCAATATCATCTTAAGTACAAAACAGTTACTTATGACAAAAGAAAATGGTAGTGATAAGAGTGACAAAGATCTGCTAATATTTCTTCACTGTTTATGGTCTATGTAAATGTCTATGTAAATATAAACATGCATACATTTCTAACAAATTAAGAAGCTTAAGCTGAAAAAATATTTTAAATTTCACCTGTGCTTAAATAAATACGATTCCTTGAATTGATAGATACGTAAATAAGTATAACAATAACAAACTTGAAAAGATCACCTTGACAATTGTCTGGTATGCAAAAGGTAGATTTTGCTTGGACCACTGCTTTTCAAAATACACTTCACCATTTTGATTTAACTGATATCTACTCCCAGTTAGTAACTGGGCATATACAATTATAGATGTTTCATTTATAATTACTCCTTTTCTTCTTTGGTAGCTGATAAAAAGAACAAATTATACAATAAATTAGAATTTGCATTTTTTGAGAAATGGTATTTTAATAAAAAAGACAAAAAAAATAATCATTTTAGGGGGGGGAAGTCAAACCAATAATAATAAAAGATATTAATTTAAATCTATTACTTTTTCCAAGAGTTTGCAAGGATGTGCTAGATTCCTAAATTAGACAAAAGGTAATAAGATTATTAAAAGCCACTTTTCTAATAAACATTAGAAATTGTACATGTTATGGAAACTAGCAGTAGAGATAATACCCATGAAGCCTTAAAGTCTGACAGGGATATAAGGAAACTTCACTTATCTTCTTCCAATCCAAGTTCCCATAATATATATCCAGCATATAGTTTGACTAAATAAGGGGAGCATATATAGCTGTGTCTTTTGCCAATCTGAAGTCAGTCTGCTTCACCCAAACTGTGGCATCCTGACCTGTCTATAAGTTTTTCACAAGGACATTGAGATGTTCTGGGATTCTCATTTTTATGAGCATAATCCACTTGATATAATTTGACATAACTGAAGCCCTTTCTATAATCCAGAGGTCCCCAATCTTTTAGGTACCAGGGACCGGTTCTGTGGGGAGAGTTTTTTCCATGGACCATAGGGGATGTGGTTTCGTGTGCTGCCTGCATCCCATGGATGGGGCTTCGCTTGTTTGCGTGGACCGGTTTCTGACATGCCGTGGCCCGGTGCTGGTCCACAGACCAGGGGTTGGGGACCTCTGCTATAATCAATGAATCACATACCGAGTTATATTTGGTATTATTTTGTTTTCTCAATTATCCAGCATCAACCACCAATAATGTCTCATGCTCCTTGGCCTTTTATAAAGCCATCTTAAACATTTGGCATCTCTTTTTTTCATACTGTTCTCTAATCTGCATTGAATGATCCTAAGCATTATTTTGCTAGCATGTAAAACTAAGAATGCTGAATAAGTACACATATGTGTTTGAATGCTCCATTAAGTCTCCTCCCTCCTCCCGTACCTCTTTTGGTACTGGAATCTAATTGATCTCTTCCAATCTATTGACCACCTTATAGTTCATCAGATTTGCAGGTTTGTTAGAAAATGTGAGTGATTCTTCTTTTGTTGCCATATTTCAGTGAGAATTCTATCAGTTCCTGTAGCCTTCTAACTTGGTAATGACCAGAATGTGACTTTTTAAAGTTCATTCTATGATTCCTCTGTTGTTTTTAATGAGGTTCAGGGCTTCAAAGTGATTCCTAATGTTCTCCTTGAAAATAGTGAGTATATGTTCAAGAAAGTATTGTGGAAATTGACTTTCTCTTTAGCTTAACATGGAGCTTGCAGATGAGCAGTTCATGATCTATTCCAGTCAGCATCTGGCCATGTCTTTGAGGCTATACTTGAGCTCCTCTACTCTTTTTAGTAACAATATAGACAATTCGATTTTTATATATTCTATCTGATTATGTCCATGTATAAATGTGTCATTTTGCTTGTTTAAAGACACTGTTAGTATGAAGTATTCACTGGAGTGGCAGAAATTGATAAGTTAGTCTCCTGCTTCATTTTGGTTTTCTAAACTATACAATCCAACTATATTTTCCTATTTAATGTTTCCAACTTTAACATTATAAATTCCAACTCTTACATTACAAGCAGCGTATCTTCCTTGCATGATGACAATTTCAAACTGAACTTGATCATAAACCTCATCAACTTCCTCGCTTTCTGCATCAGTGATAGAAACTTGAATGATCGTCCTATTGATAATATTCAGTGACTGACTCCATTGTAGACAAGCACTGTTTTTGCTCTTCCGTTCCTAATTATAAAAGCATTGCCATTTCTTCATTTTTCATATTCTAAATAAACAATGTGATAATTTAAATGAAAGTCTCCCATCTCAGTCCATCTCATTTAGCTGATGCCTAAAATTTGTAGTAGTTTCATTTCAACACTCCCTGTGTTGAATTTTCTTGAAGTTATCCTTCTTACATTCCATGTTCCTTTCCAGTTTAAGATTTTCTTTTCCTGTATGGCAATATCAGCAACTAGCCATCCCAAACATTTTAATCTAGTCACATCACAAATACCTATAATATCAGGAAATATCCTCAGCTCTTTCTCAGTAGTATGCTGAATGCCATCTGAGCTAAGGGGTCCATTATCTGACACTATATCATCAACCATTTTATATTTTCTATCTATGTGGTTTTCTTGGTAAAAATACAGGAATGGATTATCATTGACTTCTCCTGTGCAGTATGAATTGATGCCTTTGCCATTGTCACTAAGGTGATCATCTACTTCCAGCATCTTCTCATTGCTGCTGCCTAATATAGTGCCGGCCTGTTTTAAATGAACTTTAGATAAACTTTAGATGAGTTTTAGATGAAAGATGTTCCTTCTGGGTGACCTTGCTGGGAATATATCTCTTACTATATACTTCCAACATCCTGCCCAGAAACAACCATCACCCCCACTACAATGAGGCAACACAGCAGGACTTTGGAGGGAAAGAAACAAATAAACAGCATCGGACCTGGATATCTCCGAGACCGCCTTCTGCCGCAGATTACCTCCCATCGGCCGGTACGCTCCCACAGAGTGGGTCTCCTCAGTGCTGGCTGGCGACCCCCAGGGGGAGGGCCTTCTCGGTGGGAGCCCCCACCCTCTGGAACGAACTACCCCCAGAGATCCGGGTGATCCCCTCCTTCCGCCGCGCCCTAAAGACATGGCTATTTCAACTAGCAGGACTGGCCTAAGGGGAAATTTTTAGTGGGGTTTTAAGTGAAATTTTAATTATATAGGCCATAGTGAATATTTCTTTTTAATTTGGTTTTAAATTAGTATTTATTGTAGTATCTGTTTTATAAGGCTGTCAGCCGCCCTGAGTCCGGTAAGGAGAAGGGCGGGATAAAAATTGAATAAAAAAAATAAAATAAAATAAATAAAAATAAAAATATTAAGACTAAAAAAAACTAAATTAGTATTTTTTCTCACAATTATCTTTTCATTATTGAGGTGTTATTTGCTGAGCTGACTTTTTAAGTATACTTCTAATGATTTGACTTGGCCTAGCAGTTTCAGCAACAGTTAACACAATATTTCTTGTGCTAACTGAAGGAACAATCTCCAGAATGCAAAGACAGGTTATTTCCTTCACACTAACTTTCTATGAGAGAAGAATATTTTTAGCAAAATTATTATAAAGTAGGTGATGCCTTATAGCAGGGCTTTTCAACCTTTTCACAGATTGTACCACTTTTATGATATGGCAATATTCGAGTACCACCAGTCACCTAGCAAGTGTCAAAAACTTGATGATAAAAAAGGGGGGAGTGATAAAGTATAGATAGTCCTCCACTTACGACAGTCCTCTTAGTGACTGTTCGAAGTTCAAACAGCATTGAAAAAAGTGACTTATGACCATTTTTGATACAAATGACTGTTGCAGCATCCCCAGGGTCATGTGATTTACATTCAGCTGCTTGGCAACTGATTTATATTTATGACGATCACAGTGTCCCAGGGTCATGTGATCCCCTTTTGCAACCTTTTGACAAGCAAAGTCAATGGCTGGGGGTGTGGGCCAGCTCAATGTCGCTCAGGTCACGGGGCACCTGTGGGGAGTGCGGGCGGGGCTGTGGGGGGGGATCTAGGCGTCTCCGGTGGAGGGGGTGGACTGGGGTGGGCGCCAGGGCATGGTCCACTGGAGGAGCCTCGCCGTCCCTCTTGGGCCACATGGGGGAATCCCGGACAATGGCGTGGGCTGCCCGGAGCCCTGGGCAGTGGAGGGCAAGCACCCAGCCCATTCCTTGAGTTCCCAAGGTACCAGGACCCTGCAGCCCAACCCTGTCCAGCTCCACTTCCCCGAGGGAGCACCTGGCTGTGCTTACCTCCTCATCAAGGTTGCTGCTGCTGATGTGCCCACTCTCCTTGGCCAAGTTGCTCAAGGTGGGTGTAGGAGGGCAAAGTGCTTAAGTCAGACAGAGGTCCACTCCCTCTCCATGTAAGGAGACCCAGTTTTGTAACCAAAGCAGCGATAGGACAGGAGACCCTCAGGATAGGCCAGGAGGAGGGAGCAAGGGAATGGCGAAAGGGCAGCAGGGCTGCTGGTGGTCAAGTGCTAAGGCAGGACTTTCCTCAGAGCCTCCCTCCCTCTCATTCCAATCTCCTTCCTTCCTTCCTTCCTTCCTTCCTTCCTTCCCTCCCTCCCTCCCTCCCTCCCTCCCTCCTTCCTTCCTTCCTTCCTCCCCTCCCTCTTTCCCTGCCTCCCTGCTTCTCATTCCCATCTCCTTCCTTCCTTCCTTCCTCCCTCCCTCCCTCGCTCCCTCCCCCCTGCCTCCCTTCCTCCATGCCCAGGAAGGGATAAGGGGAGAGGGAGAGGTGGGCCGTGCTGCCGATGGCCATGGCTTGAAAGGCCACTGTAAATTCGTGGACAAAAGCCGCACAGCCTTAAGAGCAGAGTGGCGGGAAGATATTTGTGATGAAGAAGGGAGAAAAACAGACAAGAAACGCAGCGGGGGAGGGGTCAACCTCTGTGAGGAATGAAGAAAGGGAGCATCCCCTGAAGGCAACCAGCAAATGGCCCTCACCCACTTCACACATCCAGTTCTGTGGGCTCCGGGGGAGGGCATACTGTGAGCGATGTGAGACTCCATGTTACTTGCACTATGCCACCCAGCCCCTCCCTCCAGCCTGCCCTCCTTCGGCAGAAAGCAGCATGCTCTCACTGCGCAGAGAGGCTGGGCTGGGTGAAGCAAAGCTGGGGAGAAGTGGAACCTCCCTGGGCATGCACACAGGAGGTGGCGAGCACATGGGGCCTGGAGTCCTGGGTGACCATTTTGCCCCGCAGGCTGTGTTCTGAGCGCTTCCCTTTCACCCGGGACACCAAGCCCCGCACACTCACCGCCTCTTGTACATGCACCCAGGCAGGTTCGGCTTCTCACCAGCTTCGCCCCACCCGGCCCAGCCTCTCCGCCCGGTGAAGAGAGCGTGCCTCTGCCTGTCAAAGCCGGGCAGGCTGGGGGGGCTGGGCGGTGTAGCGCAAGTAACATGGACTCACTCTGCTCACAGCGTCCCCTCCCCCTGGAGCCCACAGAGCTGGGTGTGTGAAGTGGGCGAGGGCCATTTGCCGGATCTCCTTCAAGGGATGGTGCCTTTCTTCATTCCTTGCAGAGNGACATGGCTCTTCCAACAAGCGGGATTGGCCTAGGGAATTTTTAGTGGGGTTTTAAGTGAAATTTTAATTATATAGGCCATAGTGAATATTTCTTTTTAATTTGGTTTTAAATTAGTATTTATTGTAGTATCTGTTTTATAAGGCTGTCAGCCACCCTGAGTCCGGTAAGGAGAAGGGCGGGATAAAAATTGAATAAAAAAAATAAAATAAAATAAATAAAAATAAAAATATTAAGACTAAAAAAAACTAAATTAGTATTTTTTCTCACAATTATCTTTTCATTATTGAGGTGTTATTTGCTGAGCTGACTTTTTAAGTATACTTCTAATGATTTGACTTGGCCTAGCAGTTTCAGCAACAGTTAACACAATATTTCTTGTGTTAACTGAAGGAACAATCTCCAGAATGCAAAGACAGGTTATTTCCTTCACACTAACTTTCTATGAGAGAAGAATATTTTTAGCAAAATTATTATAAAGTAGGTGATGCCTTATAGCAGGGCTTTTCAACCTTTTCACAGATTGTACCACTTTTATGATATGGCAATATTCGAGTACTACCAGTCACCTAGCAAGTGTCAAAAACTTGATGATAAAAAAGGGGGGGAGTGATAAAAGTATAGATAGTCCTCCACTTACGACAGTCCTCTTAGTGACTGTTCGAAGTTCAAACGGCATTGAAAAAAATGACTTATGACCATTTTTGATACAAATGACTGTTGCAGCATCCCCAGGGTCATGTGATTTACATTCAGCTGCTTGGCAACTGATTTATATTTATGACGATCACAGTGTCCCAGGGTCATGTGATCCCCTTTTGCAACCTTTTGACAAGCAAAGTCAATGGCTGGGGGTGTGGGCCAGCTCAATGTCAATGGCGGGAAGGTATTTGTGATGAAGAAGGGAGAAAAACAGACAAGAAACGCAGCGGGGGAGGGGTCACCCTCTGTGAGGAATGAAGAAAGGGAGCATCCCCTGAAGGCAACCAGCAAACGGCCCTCACCCACTTCACACATCCAGTTCTGTGGGCTCCGGGGGAGGGCATACTGTGAGCGATGTGAGACTCCATGTTACTTGCACTATGCCACCCAGCCCCTCCCTCCAGCCTGCCCTCCTTCGGCAGAAAGCAGCATGCTCCCACTGGGCAGAGAGGCTGGGCTGGGTGAAGCAAAGCTGGGGAGAAGCGGAACCTCCCTGGGCATGCACACAGGAGGTGGCGAGCACATGGGGCCTGGAGTCCTGGGTGACCATTTTGCCCCGCAGGCTGTGTTCTGAGCGCTTCCCTTTCACCCGGGACACCAAGCCCCGCACACTCACCGCCTCTTGTACATGCACCCAGGCAGGTTCGGCTTCTCACCAGCTTCGCCCCACCCGGCCCAGCCTCTCCGACCGGTGAAGAGAGCGTGCCTCTGCCTGTCAAAGCCGGGCAGGCTGGGGGGGCTGGGCGGTGTAGCGCAAGTAACATGGACTCACTCTGCTCACAGCGTCCCCTCCCCCTGGAGCCCACAGAGCTGGGTGTGTGAAGTGGGCGAGGGCCATTTGCCGGATCTCCTTCAAGGGATGGTGCCTTTCTTCATTCCTTGCAGAG